CTCTCAGGGAAGGGAGAAAAATGCACCGCTCCCTGTCTCATCTCACCTCCTCCTAATCCTGCAGCGCTGATGCTGCAGTCACACAGACCTGGACGCTCCCTCTTATGTATTCACATCCAACTTCACCTGTGACTAACGTCGGAGCACGAAGTCCTGTGGTTTGTTTTTTTTTTTCAGGTCATGATTTTTCTCTTCTTTACATTTTGTTTGTCCTTTTCTGCCCTTCTACTCTCACTAATGACTGGCTTTTTCTCCCCCTTCATCCTAAACAGAGGCATAAGCTGGAGCTCAGTTCTTCATGCAGAGGGGAGAAATAAAAACAAGTGACTTGTGAGACCCCGAGAGGAGCTCAGCCTTTATATTGGTTCATCTGCATGCAGGAGGGGGAGCGGAGAGACTGGAGGCTTTATTGGAACAGATGACCTCGGATTTATGTTTCATACATCATTATCTCCAGGACAGGCTCACTCACCTTTAAATTCATGGTCACAAGAGCTCTCTCTCTCTCTCTCACACACACACACACACACACACACGCACACACACACACACACACACACTGGTGGGGAGTGCACTTAAACTAACAGCAATTACCTGTTGTTGCAGCTCAGCCCTTCTGCAGAATCCTTTGGAAATCCATCAAAATGCAGCTCACCCAGTGGACCTTTAATGAACTGCTGCTCTCTCAGCTCCACTCCTGTGTGACTGCAGCCTGCACCAGACCCTGGGAGTATACATATACCCTATGGTGTGTATTTAAAATGTGGCACTGTATTGAGGTCGGTCTGATCTAATAATAGTTTTCTTTTGTGTTGTCTCTCCCGTGGAGTTGTGTATATTAAATACAGATTCATTTTCTGTGACATCTCGTTGTAGAATAACCTGAGCCGTCTGAGTTGCCGTAGACGAGGAAGCTGCTTCACTGATCTAATCGATCACCACAGTGTAAGTCATTTTTCCTCAACATAACAGGATTTCACCGTGCTCTCAGACTAAGCTGTAAAACATGTTAACAGCTGTTATTTTAAAAAACATTCAATTCAGGTCATGATTGATTTCGTTAGCCTGTACAGGCTGCTACTGCTAACATGCCAATTGTTGACGGAAAAGTCAAAGGGTTGTTAAGGATCAGTACATTTTCAAAGTAAAACATCTTTTAGTTATTACTCTATTGGTATCAAAGTCTGAAAGAAGTATTATTTTGAAAAAAATGCCTAAATTAACTTAATTCTAGAAAGTAAATAATAAATGACCAGATTCTCTTTATATCTAATATGTTTTTAAACACTTTTTCAAAGATAGTATTTATATATTAATATATGAAGTGTTGCTGTATGAGCCACATTTTCTGAGTAACTCCATTCAAAAAGAAAGTGCTCCCTTATTAGATCATTTATGGCCAGACTTTTCTTCATTGATCATCTGCAGAGTGGTACTGCTTCACACACACACACACACACACACCTGATCTCTGTTCCAGCCATGGAGCCACATTCACAGTCAGTCAGCAGTATAGCTTGTATTAGCTTCCTTGAAGCTGGAGAACCACAGGTTCCTACAGAGATGAGTGTTTGTGTTTACACGGCGAGTGGAGTCGTCAAATGTTTAGGCCGCAGGTCGTCGTGTTTATGATGATTTTGTCAAACGTTGATGTAATTCCTGTACAGTATTTGTCCCGGCTGTTTTCATGACTGGATTCATTCAGTGTAGTTTCATTGTTACTGATTCTACCAGGATAATGTGTCTGTGTCTATAACCGATAGCTTTAATGAGAAAAGGTTCCTGTGCTGTGAAAGCTGACGTCTCCCTGCTCTGGTGTCGCACGTGTGAGGATTAGACTCCGTGGTTCAGGTCGCTGTTGAACGCCGCTGACGCTCAGCGCTGCTACAGCCAGATGATTTGCAGATTCATTTTCTCTGGGTGACATCTCATTTTGGGATTACCTGGGGCCGTTGTGTCGCCACAGAGCAGGAACCTACTTCACTAATCTGTCAGCGGGCCGCCATTGATTTCTGTTCAGGATATAATTATTCGATTAAAGTGTCAGTCAAAGTCTTGACGGTATCAGGACGTCTGTAGGGAGTAAAAGCTGGTACTGTATATTCTGATGGAAAATGGTGGAAGGACGGAAACAACAACAACAACAACAACAACAACAACAACAAGGGGCTAAATTGTCTCTAGACTCTATTCTCCAAGACGGTTTTTCTTCTAAGCCATAAAATTAAATTGCACAGATATTTGTGTCCAGGTTCAGATTTGTCAGATGAATGTGTTTGTGCAGGAGTCTGACAGATGAAAACAAGTCGTGCCCTCACTGTGTCGGCTTCATGAGCAGCCAGAAATATAAACAGGCCGTATCACAGAGCACTGGCTGATCAAATATTCTCTGTAACTTCTTCTGCTCCACAAATTGGTCTAATTGGCGTCTCCTGGAATCACGCTGACAGAGGAGTCCAGTCTTTATTTTCCTTGTTAGAGGACAGCTGGGATATGTGCTTTTGTGCTGCAGCTTTGTCAGACAAATGATGTCCACACTGTCTCCATGTTTGAAGCTCATACCTCAGAATACAGACCACACCTTCATCAACCCCACAGTCAAACCTTAAGTAAATCAAAAAAATGTTAAAAAACAATCAGTTACCACCAGTTACACTCCACCAAATCACTGTGGAAAACAAAAGTGATTTTAAGTATTAAATTATAATAAATATTAAACAAATAAAAACCTGATAACTGACCTGAATGGCAGCAGGGAATGAAATTGAGACGGTCCACGGTTGCTCTTCCCTTTATGGATAAATCATAACTTTATCGCCGCCAACTTTATTGCATCTTTCTGCGACAGAGTGACAGAGTGGAGTCACGGTCCTCTGTGGAAGTGAAGCACATCAAAGACATAAAAGAGCTCGCCAACATTTCATCACCTCTTCCCCCAGAGTCGTTTACATTCAAATTCACATTACATTTTTAAGAGC